GCATTTGCAGAATGCTGAAAGATGTCCAATATCCTTATACGAAGCTTTAGAAGGGTTGATGTTTCAATGCTGTACATCGGGATTGAGAAGAGTGCAGCTGCCTATAAGTTGATCATTTGTTGTTGTCCGGATAGATCGGCCTTGCCACACTTTAGAAAATTGCCAGATGTTCACAGATGCCAGCTCTTAGAGACGCTCTTCCTCCGCATCGCAGCTTCCATTTCTTGCTAGTGCAGAGCGGACCTCTAGTTTTCAACCTCATTAATGGTCGTTCCACTTCATTGAGTCTTTGAATCGTTAGCAGAGTCAGGTGTTCGAAAGATCTTCGATTCGGTTGGGTTGACTTCAAGGTTAACTTCGAAGGCCACCTTACACACTTCTCGAAGTAATTCCAGTAAGCCATTTGCGGGGTCGTTCAGCAATACAATTTTATCAGCATATTCGTGATCTGTTACGAGTACAGTTAGGTATCTTCAGATAAGTCATCTGACAGTAAATTTCCCGCTGTTGTTTGGATGGGCGTTCTTCCGCATCACTTAGTCCACCACCGTGATGATTAATATAGATGAATTTCCCACTCTTTGGCGCATTTTACTGTTGATGTTAAGCCTGTCTGACAATAACTGTTCTGTTGTGATGGGCTTTTAGTACCATCTTAAATTTCTTGCAGCAGGTCGGCGGTTTTATGCGGTGCTCGCTGACGTTGGACAATGCGCTCCAAGGACTGGCGGTGTACAGAATCAAAGGCTGCTCGAAAGTTGAGAAATGAGACATTCCTCAATAATCATATGACAATTAAAATTTAGCCAGAATATGAATAGCTCGTTCAGAATCTTGCCTAATTTGGGCGGAGCCTTCTGTCAGCTGCGTGCCTCAACCATTGCAGGATAATCTATTAGAACATCTTTCTATTAGTTGACAATGGGTCAACTCAAGGATAGGTTGACCGCTCGATTGGCCATCCATTATGAATTTGGAACAATTACTCAATGCTTTCATTCTCCAAAGAAGCTCTTTAAAATCTGAATTTTGTGGAATAGGACATAAAGCTTCGTCATGATTCCTCTTCCGCCATATTTAATTAACTTTAGAAGGATTTGATCAACACCGCAGACATTTTTCTATATAGAGGGTATCTCAGAACCTCGACGTAGTAGCCTTTCCCAGTATAATCGTTCAAATTCCAATTTTATCAATATTTCTGCATAAATGTAGCTAGTTCAGACTCATTCTGAATTATCAGGCTGTTAAACAACATTATTGGACGTTGCCTTGGATAGATGATATTATATCCCATTTTGTTTTTTGACTGTTTGTTAATCTGTCACCTCATTCAATTTTGTTTATATTTCAAAATGTTATGTCGGCTGTGTTTTATTTTTTTAATTAATCGAAACTGCGGTATTATTTATTCCTTTCATACTCCTGCGGTAGTATTTAATGATTAATGTTTCCGTTTCCCTGTTGAAATATGGTTTCTGCTTGCATAGTGACAATCGAATTTGTCGGTGTTGTCATTGGTGGAATGAAATTCAATCTTACTGCACACACAACGACTAGTAAAAGATTTTGTCAATAATTCACGGTACCAACATATTTTGTAAACATTCGGCGTGAATTCTTCGATTTACTTATTTTCTGCCTCATTATCCGTCAGCAGGTGTGCTGAGGTTCTCATTTCACGAATTCTAGTCCATTTGGTTGATGTAAACTTTTTCCAATGACTCCAAATAACTAGGATTAAATAGGCCATCGAAGCTGCCGTTGCCACGCCGCAAATCACGCCAACATAGTTTGGCATATTCCTTAGGTCTGTAATTGCTGAGGCATTTAATTCCTCACACAGTTCACCAGTAAAGTTTGGAAGGCAGTCACATGCATATGACGTCTTATTCTGACCGGACAATTCCACTTGAAATGCGTAACATGTTCCACCGTTTGCACAATAAGAGCTCGATTTTTCTTCGGTGCATAACCTGCTTTCTCTGTCATACGACTTGTCGAGAGCAGTGGTACTAACTTCAGAACGAGAGAGCTTCTCCAAGCCCGGTGTGTTTATCATGTTCATGGTCAGCTGCGAAAACAATAAAATACAAACGAAATGTAAATAAATTTTCTGAAAACTTTCCTGCATATTTCTGCAATATATTCTGCAAACTTTCAACTGCCGATATAAGAATAAATCACTGATTATTTTCGTCCGAACTGTGGATTGAGCCTCAAACAGTCAACGAAGAGCAAGTAACCAAATGAGCAGAAGACGAATGTGAGTAGTCACGAATAAAACGAAGGCAGATACTGAGTGAAACAGTTTACAGCGAATTCGGAAATGTTTTAACTTAGATTACACATCCAGAAGCTATCGCTGATAAATCTGGTTTTCTTAGTCATCAGGGCAGCCATAAACAAACGCAGACCGCATACAATACTATACACGGTGCGTAATCCATAATGATTACAAGCTCTACGTATTTTCGATTACGGTAGCTGGTCTCTCTAGAAAACCAACGTCTGAACCAGAACAGAGGCTGTCAATTTTGTGGTCAGGCGACATTTTACTCCTTTTCTAAAGAGGAAATTAATTCTTCATCTTCGTCTTCCATAATCACATTTCCATCCTTGTCACAGACGGAGACGCGTCAGACAGAGCTTCCAATGTTCCCGGTCCTGTGCCAGAGCCTGAGCTTCGGCAAAAGACAAATGGAGTCTGGAACAGACTCCTTCCGTATATTTGCACCAGGAAAATCATGGCCGCCCTCTGGGCCTTCTACCGGTCGGATGGGCAAGAAATATTTGCTTCGTCTTCAGTTCATTGGCGCAACACAGCACTACTTTGTTGGGTCAAACAAAACATATTCGAATACAAACGTGTAACTCAGTAGGCAGGTATATAGCGTCATCGTCCTCCATGGCCGCCTCTCTGTTCTGATCGCATGGGCAGTTTGATTAGACAGAGCTTCCAACGTTCCTGATCCTATGCCAGAGCCTGAGCTTCGGCAAAAGGCAACTGGAGCCTAGAACAGACTCCTTCCATATTTGCATCAGGTTAATCTTGGCCGTCCCTTGGGTCTTTTGCCGGTCGGATTTCCAAGGAACAGTTG